ACCAGCAGGGACCCCCACACTCAGCACAAGAGAACCCCAGACCCGGGCCATGGAGCAGTACCAGGGTGAAAGACTTTTCCCACCGCCATGGTCACGTAGCCATTCTCCTTGAAGTACTGGGGGATGGTGGAGAAGTTTCCTGCGTGCACCCTCCAGTAGGAGTTGAAGTCATACAGGTGGGTGGTGTCAGGCCTCCTCCCCGTGAGGAAGGACACGCGGCTCGGGGCGCACACTGCTTGCTGGTAGGGAGCACAAGCACAGGTCAGCATAATCACAGCAAAATGTGAAAATGGGGCTGCTGTCTCCAAGGTAACCAGGCAACCTCTCTGGGCCCTCAGCAACAGCCTGGCAGCTGAGTCATGCAGATCTCAAAGCCAGCCAGTGGGAAGCAGGCCCCACTCAGATGCTAGAGATTGAGGCTTCCTGGCGACACAAGACAGCAGTGAGCCCTCCAGCCAGCAGATGCAGATGGCCTGCTATGTGATGATGACCCCAGGCACCCAGAGCTGCTGTTGTTCTTGGAACCAGCCTGAGAGGGAGAGCAGGGAAGTGGCCACCATGGGCAGCTGGCTGACCCTTGCCCAGGGCTCAATGGGCAGACCCTTGGATGACACTTGGCAGGGTGTAGCAGTGTCCCCTTCTAGGAGGAAGCTGACAAAGGACAGTCCTGAGCACGTTAGGGCCAAAGTGTACCCTCCACCAGAGGGGGAGTGGTAGCCATTCGGACCCAGCTTACTTTGGAGTGAACAACCAGATGTTCTTGACCATAGTTTTCTACCCCATGCTTGCCTCTTTCTGAGAGGTGCCTGGCATGGTCAGTGTCACCCAAGAGTGACTAAAGAATCTCTAATCCTAAGTGTATGAGGAGACACATTCCATGAAGCAGTGCCTCCGTGACATACCTGGGCAAAGGCATTCTGGAAGAGGAGGCTGTGGGATGCCAGCTGATCAATGTTCGGGGACTTCACTAACTTATCTCCGTAACAGCCCAGGGAGGGACGTAGGTCATCCAGGATGATGAGTAGGACATTCAGATTGTCTGCAGGGGAGAGAGGAGCTTCTGTGAGGTTACACAGGTGGACACTGAACTTCGTCCTTCTCTTCCTGGGGGATGAGAGAGGCAAGGCTGAACCTTGCACCTTGACAGCCCAGCCAACGAGAAAGGTCACAAGGTATGTTCGTCAGCAAGTGGGGGGTGAGGGTACAGAGGAACCCTGAGGTCCTGGTGGCAGATTTAGAGTTTGACCAGGGTTTGAACCCTAGAGGTGGGAGAGAGGGATGGCAGGACAGAGGAAAGGGGAAAAGAACTCAGGAAGAGAATGGGATAGGTGAAGAGATGGAAAGATGCTTTGTGAAGGAACAGTGAGTAGAGCATGAGAGGAAGGAGGGATGAATGGTTTAAAGCAAAGAGGAAGGAGGAAAGGAAGGAGGACAGAAGAACGGACTCTGATTGATGAAAGGAGAGGGAGACAGAGGAAGGACGAACTGGAAGGAAATGACAGGGAATGGGGAGGAGGAGGGTGTTTCAGGGAAAGATGACTTCAGGAGAATGGATGTAGGTTAAGAACAGATAATGAAGAAGGCTGCTAGAAAGCATGAAAATGGGGGTAAAGAGGAAGATAGGGAAGCAGGCTATTTGTGGGATAAGGAACAGTAGGGAGAGGGAGCCAGAGGGCAAGGATGGATGCAGGCAGGGAAGGAAGGAGGAACGGAGAGGGAGACGGTGAAAGGCTGGAAAAGACCGGAGGCACCTGTGGTGGAGTTGATCTGCGCCGCGGATCGCAGGACCGCACAGGAGCCAAGGACCAGGCTGAACCAAAGCAGGAGCCGGCCAGGGGGAGGCATTTCTTCTTCGAGCCACGGCGGTGTCCGCGACAGGCTACAGTGGAAGGGCTGGTTAGTAACCAAAGCCGCCGCAAGTGTGGCGTCAGGCGGCACAGAGCACTAAAAGACGCAACCGCCCTGGGCCCAGAGGCCCGGGCGCTGGCCTGAGCGCCAGTGCGCCTGCGCTTCTCTACCCCCGCCCCCTCGAGAGGCGGAGCCGGCAGATATGCGGGGTGCGAACACCGAATCCGAGTCGGAATGGGCGGGGCCAGGGCCCAAGGAGAAAGTTTGGAAAGCTTGAACAGCCCACCTGCCCGCACTTTGTAAACAGGCCACCTCTGAACACTGCCCCGGGTGGTGAACTGCTGCGCTGCTGCGGGAGTCCTTGTAGGTGCTTTTGAGATTTTGCGACTCAGCCAGTGCCCTTAACTAGTTTTTAAAATACCGTTTTGTTGTGAAAAAAATATATATGTATACACAACATAGGATAGATATACAGCTACTTTCTCTTAGTTCATTGAGAAGAAAGGTTTGTACTAATATTGTTTAGACAAAAATATCATGTCTACATCTTGTCCTCTGAATAACTACTACAAAGACAATATACAGTGTATTAATTATTGTAACTGTCCTACTAACGTGTTTTGAAACTGTCTCATTGCTGTTTCTTTCTCAATAAAATTAATAAAAAAAAATTAAAAATAAATAAAAGCTATGGATAGTTTTTACCCCTCTCTGCTATAGGTCCTCCTCTGCCGTTCACCTGGGAGCTCTGCCCTTTCCTCATCTGGTTGTAAATGTCTCACTTTTCCTTGTTGGCCCTTGTCATTGGCAACCTGACCATAAATGCATCGTCTCCAAAGTGCAACTCCATCGGTGGCAGCCCTTCGTGCTGCTTTCTGAGGTGTCCCCACCCTGACCTGGTTCCTAGCGATCCAGGCCACTTACTGCTACAACAACCCATGAAGTCACTCTTGGCCTCTTTTTGAGTGTGTCTCTCTCTGTCGCTCTGTGCCATTCTTGGGGGCCCAGAAGGAAGCTTAGAGGGCTGCTTCAGACACTTCTACAGTGGAGCTATGCTGATCTGCTGTGGGTTAGCACATTTTCCACTGCTCTTGGGCTTCTGCCTCACCCCCACCTTTGGCCCTACCTCCAGGGCCAGAGGACAAAACACATGAGTAAATTAGTAAATACTCTCTGATACTCTGTCCCAACAATAGAATAAGGACAGGGCATCATGGCGCACACCTGAGAGGCTGAACTCATGGAAACAGGATTGCCATGAGTTCACGGCCAGTCGGAACAACAAAGTGAGACCCTGTCTCCAACAAACAAGCAAGCAAACAAAACAACAGAATAAGGATTCAGGGTAGAATTCAGGACTGCTTTCCATTTAGTTCCAGGATGCTTGAATGGGCGCTGTTTGAAGGCAAGCTCTGTATCTTCCATCTACTACTGTATCCCCAGGGCCAGCACTGTCAGTTAGGTTTTTAGGGCTCCACTGGGATTTGAAGCATGATCACAGCCACCCATTAAGAAAGCAGGGCATCCCAGGCTATTTTCAGCCTGACACCAAGAGAACCCTCTTGCCATATAGCATGGTGGAGAGGGCCCTGGACTCTGTAGGCATGTGAAATGGTGCGCTGAGGAGGCCCACAATATGGACACAAAATACACTCAGCAGACACAGGGCCATTGGCAGGAGTAACTGTCTGCAGGTGTATCAGTCAGTGCTTACTAGAGAAAGAGATTGTATGTAAAATGTAATAATATATAAGAATTTACAAGATTGGCTTACGGTGGCCACTTATAGAATCAGGTGTGGAAGAGTGCAAAAGGGCTGTCAGTGCACAGGAGATCCAAATGATCCAATCAAGGGTCTGGAGTTCACTGCAGCATCCCACACAAGCCCAAATCAGGAGGCAAAAGAGTCTGCGCTGGAAGCCAGGGCATGACATCCAATGTGGAAGAGAAGAATGGAGCTCCTAGGAAACAACAAGAGCAGCAGCCTTCTTTCCTAGTTTCCCTTTTATGCCACTCTAGCAAAAATCCTCCCTATGGTGGGTCTTCCACACCCAGAGCTGTGCTAAGTCAGTCGACTTGGGCATTTCTTACTTAAATTGACAGTCAGTAATCACCAGATATGCAAGGCAGCACTGGGAATCTGTCCTCAAGCTGCCTCAGAGCATGGATACACAGGTAGGCCCAGGCTGTCCTGAGGTCTGCAGCAGTAGTACCCCTGGGCTCCTTGGGGATCAAGAAGGTGACAGTGAACACAGCCAGGAACAGATTCTGTCCTATTTCCCTCAAAGTGAAACCCTGTGGAACGTGAAGGAACAGATGGGAGCGGGGCACCACAGCATCCCTGACCTCTGCTGAGCGCCTATACTTGGTCATATGCTATGTCAACTACTTTACAAAATGAGATCATTTTTCTACTTATGGACGCAGTCACAGTCACAGTTCTGTTCACCTCTAGAGTCTTAAATCATCTTCCAACCAAGCCTCTTCTTTTCTATTTCCACATTTTCCCTCTTGTTCTCCCCTCTTCCTTTTCCCTTCCTCTCCTCGTTCTAAGCCAAGCCCAGTCTTTCAGCCAAGCCATTCATTCACTGGTTCAGCTAACTCAGCTCTAGCTTGTCCATCAGGCAGGCTTTGGAGCACACAGTCTAGAAAAGCAGACTTCTACAAGTTTCCACCAGGAGTGTCTTAGGCTCTAGTGTTCATTAATACTGCTTTAAAATCAACTTGTGTCCTCTAAAATGATTTTGTAAAGCATAAAAATAGAACTAAGTAAAGCACAAGTGCCCAATCATCTCTTTGTAAATATTATACTATCACTGAGTGAGGAATGAGTCACTCTTCCAACATTTGCATTGCAAATGTTGAACAAGGAGGGTGCCTTTAGTCATACCCCTTTTCTCCTGGCTTGTTCAGTTCCTTTCTGAACTATGAGTGATTTCTCTTATTCTTCTGGATGTATCTTTGAAAGCACCCCAGGGATGCGTGAGGGCTCTCACAGTTGAGAGTGTCCCTATGTGGGCTTGGGTGAGAACATGAGCTTCTGGGCCTTCAGATAAACCAGGTACCTACCCTGTGTTCACGCCTGCACTTTTAGGCACTGAAAATCAGTTATTTCTTGCAAAGAGAAGCCTCACCTGGAATATGAAGTCAAAGCCCATTTCCCCCTGCAACAAAAGCCAGGGGACAAGATGGACTGGGAAAACTGTAAGGACTTTGCTGCCTTTGCTGACGTTACCCCAAGGCTTCTTGTCATATGTGTGCTATAAGCCACACCTCAGGCCCAATGAATGATCAAGTTAGACCTACAAGCAGCCAGAAATACGAAAACTTCAAAGGGGAAAAAAGCAAGAGGAGAGATCTGAGTCACACAGGTTCCCTGTGTCCTACACACTGTCATCATCTTTTTATTTGAAGAAACATGGCATTTGGGAGGCAGCATATGCCACCTCTTGTGAAATCAACGTGACATGATTTTGCAACATCATTAAGGAGTCTAACATTATGAGAAAGTTCTCTAAGAGTCACTAAGGGACCAATAAAAACACTTAGGGGAGGAAGGCATATTAGAGGACATTTTGCTGAAAGACAAGGATATTGACATAGGAATTACAGTTTTCACCAGTCCCCAAAGCCTGCATCTAGGATTGCTCTCTGCTGAATCTAGGAGCTAAATTGTTGTTTTTGAATCATGAGCAGGAGTGAAGCTCTAAAGACCTGAGATCTCCCCCTAATCTTGTAATCCAAGAAAGAAAGCATAAGCTTTGTCCCCATTTTGCTGATGAATTGGGGTTATTATGACTTGTGCCTAGTTATACCTCCAAAGCTTCATGAGGTCCTAGGAGGGGCTTTTTCAGAGGTGGCTGTATCTAGACCGTGTGATGCTGGGATTAGGGTGTTTGATTACTAAGTTAGTCCACTGACTGGTTTGGTACAGTTCTTGGTAGGATTAAGGGTGTCCCACCCTGGGTGTGAGTGCTACTCATCCTAAGAGCAGGTAGTCTGAATAACAATACAAAGGGGTAGAAAAAATCTGTCACTTGTAGCTGGATGCTTGCTGCCTTCTGCCTGCCATGAACTGCTTCCCTTCTGCTATGCTGCCCTGTCTTGGGGGAACCAGCCAATTAAGGACTGAAACCTTTACAAACTGTGAGGAAAAGTAAACCTCTCTTCCTTTAACTTTGAATGCCAGGTATTGTGTCTGAACCACCAGAAAAGTAACTAAGACAGGAGTTGTACAGTCATATCACAGAGCAGTCTTCAAACACAAACTGAAACCTGGTAGATTTCCACTCCAACTCTACTGTGTGACCAGGAACCACTGCTAAACTCCCCTGGGGCTCATCAGGAAATGTGAACCTCACAACACCTGATCTAAGGGTCTATTCCCTGCTTGCAAGTGGCACTCAACAAGCAGGGGCTTTGTGTACTGTATTCATTCTATCTGCCTAGCCAGACTCTAGCCATGCAGTTCCAGCCCTTGCCAGCAGGGGGAACAACGGCAGCAATTACTGAGTCTCCTAAACTCTGTGGATTGTAGATTTCAAGATGTCATCTGGGCCAGTGAAATACTGCACTTATAAAGCTGCAGTCTGTGGCATGTGGGGCTCTGGCCTGTAGCTATCCAACACCTACCCTGCTGCTTCATAGGCCCCAGGCTCCAGGGCTTCATGAATATCTTCCTGAGAGCCCCTTCCATGGCCACGGCGACCTGTGCAATTCTGAGTTTCCATATTTAATGGCAATTGTATTCTACTTCAACAAGCTGCCTACTGAATATATTCCTACAGGGATGCAATAGCATGCTGGAAGTGGCCCCATGGTAGCGCCCAAAGTCATACACAGGACTTAAGTCTTGTCTCTTTTTCTATGACATTCTTGTCATAGAAAGACTTTTTAGCCCACTGAGTCCTCACTGCTGTCTCAGTGACGGTGTGGTACTGTTATCCCAGTGTACAGAAGTACAAACTGGAGCCCAGAGAAGGTTGTCATGCGTCCAAGATCTCACAGCTTGCACAGCTGAGGGCTGGCTCCTTGAGACCTATGCCACACTTCCCAAAATCGGCTCCAGCCCGGACAGTGGGCTGGTGTGCTTAGCTGTGTGTCATGAGGATGACCCCAGCATGTCTCCATGGCAAAAGCAAATTGACTGGC